GACAACCCCTCAAAGCCCAAGCAAACAATTCACACTGACACAGATGCTGCATATTAGTGCCCACGAGCAGAGTTTGATAGCTTTAGGTGTCTGGCACCGACATTTCAGAGAATCCCTTCACACATTATGAAATATGACAGGAAGATGATGTCATTGCTAACTCTGAAGAGATTAAATCTACACAGCTGTACATAGCTGCATAGCATTTGTTGTGTTGCTGCACCATTTAACGTGGAAGCATCAGTGGGAATTTGTGAGTAAAATAAGCAAAATGGTTGCCTGTCATATTTTCCTTCGACTAAACAACTTCTTGTGGTTTTCCTTTTTAGACCTGTGGCATGTTGGGTAGGACAGAGAGGTTGGGTAAGGAGCGGATCCAAACATATGCAACGCAAGGTCCGCTCCTGCAAACCCACGAGCACCGAGAGCACACATTCTCACACCGCTGTCGTGCATGAGAGCAGCATCAAAGTCTGTCATCATTAACACGTCGCTGTGTCCAACTTGATTACCGTAGAAATGATTCAATGATGATGAATGCATTATGTCACTTTTCCTCGGACGGAAAAAAAAAACATGCAGCAAAGGTTTAGACACATTTTCTCATTCAATTCAATGAGAAAGCGTGCTTTTAAATGTTTCACAACAGGGAAGAATAACGCGAAAAAGAGAAACGGGTAGCATGCTTAACATTATTAAGAAACCTGGATGATACTCAATGATACAATATCAATTTCTATTTATTTTAATGTTTTTTGGTGAAACAAAATATTACAAAATATTAAGAAATACTTCTTCAACTCCCCCAACATAATGAATTTTGCTGCATTTAAATCTAGTCAGTCTAATTAACTGTCTAGCTAGGAAAAATCTTTAGAACCAAATTTTAAAAAAGAACACAGACTTCACTTATATCGTACCACTACCGCAACTTGGACGTCTGTATCTGTTAACACTCACTGGCTTGCATGAGCTGACCCTGACGCCCGAACACCTGGGAGAAAGGGCTGCGGCTGCAGGTGAGCATCTCCTCCATGGCTGATCTTCGGGAGAGAAGAGGTCCTCCGCCTTTAGAGAGAGAGAGTGTGTGTGTGTGTGTTGGCACTGTGGCTCAGCCTCAGTGTGGAGGAGCGATCCTCTCACTCCAACCCCTCTCAACAGCTAAATTTGCCTCTTGAAGCCTTCTCCTCCCTGCTGCTTCCCCGCTGACTGCAGATCAGTCCTGCGCCTGGTTGCCTCTGATGCCGTCAGAGTTCGCTGTTTGCTCCCGAGCTGATGGGAGATCTGTGGTGGGTTGCTGTGCTCAGCCTGATCATCAGTGGTCTCTCTCATTGAGAGAGAGAGAGAGAGAGAGAGAGAGAGAGGGAGGGAGGGAAGGAGAGAGAGGGAGAAGGAGAGACAGAGTGATGAGAAGGCGATGCCTGCTGCAGAGAGGGACTCTCTTCCCTGCCGAAGTGCGAAGAGAGACGAGTGTGTGTAAGTGTGCGTAAAGCACATTTGAACAGTACACCGCTGCTGCTGCTTGTGGCTTTTCTCATATCGCTCTCTCTCTCTCTCTCTTTTCCCTCCCCTCGTTTGAATGCAGCCTGACTTTTCTATTGTGAGTTGCCAGGCATATGCATTGGAAAGGCATATGCATTGGGAAGGTGACAATATGCACAGTCAGATAAGCGCGCCAACATGTGACCTGGCCAGAAGACCCATTTGGAAAGTTCCTAGATGGCTGCTAGATGAACCCGCCAGAGAGGTGAAGCAAGTTCTCAAAACACAAAAAAGCCAAACATAGACACAAAGGAAAAGATGAACTGCCACAATCAACTTTGTTGCTCAGCCTGCCTGCAGCTGTGTAACTAAGAGCCAAAAGCGGGTCTCATCCCCGTCCCTGGGTTTTGAGCGGGTGCACTCCTCCACCCTTAATACTTTTTCTGTTTTCTCTTCTCTGTGATCTACAGTGTGCGTTTTATGACTGTTCCTCCAGGATGATAAAGTTTGAGTTATTTCTGCCCTCCTTACTTCTTGACTTCAGGTATTATCTTCCAGACAGAGACCGAGGAGCATCCTGCGTCTCGCTATCTCTCACTGACACGCAAACAGTCAGGTGTATGCAGCTCTAATGCACCACTTTGCTTGTGCAGGCAAAAAATAAATGAAGTATACCCGCGAGTCTCGCTGAAAGAGAAAACTCAAAAACAGACGAGAACATCAGCTTCGAACTAAAGGGGCCAGCGGATCATTAAAAATGGATCCACATCCTTTATTAATGCCCTCATTACCATGTCTGTTCCGCTTCTAAACAGCATGCAGAGGAGGAAGAGGAGACTGGTACAAAAGGGCTTTTCCCCCAGTATGCTGTTAGCATTATTTCTGCTTGGAGTGGTTGGATACCTTTGTGATGCCAGAGACGGGTTCGTCTTCCCTTTGAACACTCGGCCTTATAGAAGTTATCGGCGGCTCTATGAAAGGGATCTGCAAGCCTATATGGTTAAAGATTTGCATTTTGAAGGGGGAGATCTGGCAAAAAAAACATGCAATATGAAGTTTAATATTCAGAAAAGAGTTCATTAAACAGACACAGTGAAAATGATGTCGCTGTCAGGCTGAAGGAGCAACGCCAGAGACGGCGTGACTCAGCTCTTTGATCTGTCTTCCTCTGGAACATTGTGATCCTGACAAGTCTCTGTCCTCCTGTCACGCGCCGTTCATGCAAACTTAATCCTAACCTTTATCCAAACTTTACTTGCTTTTAATTTTTTTTGCATTTCCACAGATCAGATACAGGGCAAACCTCAAACCCACCCAACTGCAAGGTACCAAAAAAAATACAATTTGTCTCACGCTATTTTACTGGATTCAGTGCAGAATGTGTATTTTCTTGCCAAAGCTTCGATAAAACTGACAAAATCAACGACAGGCAGCTCAAAGGTTTCTCCTCAGTCTTCTGGGATGAATGTTTTTGTTTTCCATCATCTCTGATCACGCTTCCTCACTCCTCTTCATCACTTCCTGTGAGAATTCAACATAGCCCTGGGCTAAGAGCACGAGCTGCGTCAAGCATACAAATGCAGCCTCTCTGTTTGAGGTTATAGCTTGTGAGCGCTGGGAGAAACTCTACCTCGGGGCCGTGCTTCGCCGCTCCAGGTACACTGGCACGACTCCTAACTATGTGAAAAATGTGAAAAATCATCTGCCAGCCACCGCTAATTAAAAAGAACATGAAGCCTGGTCCCTCGTTTCCAGAGACTTGACTTTTATAACGATTAATAAAGGATTAAAGAATCTTTTTTTATATACAGAATCTGAAGAGCATCTGACAGCTTCTGTTTTTCTTTTTATTCAACTGCAAACTTTACGCTTGTGTGTGTTCTCTTTAATTGATTATGTATGTATTATGTATATATATATATATATATATATATATATATATATATATGCCGGGGCTGGGAACTTGTCTGAGAGAGACAAAAGATAAACAAACTGCCGGTGATGATTTTCCCCCAAAGAGCTCAACGCTTCTGAAGAGTGAAAATAAAAGCTTCACCCGGGAAAGAAGAAAACCCACAAGCCATCACATAAGACCGGATACCAGCCCCATTCACCTGCTGCTACTGGGTTTTGCATTTGATTACAGTTTATGCCTATAACCATGACACGAGGGGATCAGGGGGATTGCTTTGATAGCTCAGTGTCACAGAAAGGAAAATTCATGTTTTTAGTTTTTATTAGATCCATATATTAGAAGATAAAAAATTGTGCATCACTGGCAATATGAGAATTGAAGTCATGCCCGGTGCAGTGCCTCTCGCCAAACCATGCAATTTATGCAGAGTCTTCATCTATTAATGAACAAAGCGTGAGCTGTACTCTTGGACCCGGTCTATGCAGACAGACTAAGCCGTTCGTTTAGTTTCACTGAATCAAAGTCAACCTACGAGTAATAATCAAAAAGGGATAAAGTGCACTCTAAAGGCTTCAGCGGTGCGAAGATGTCTCCTCTGATGCGGGTGTGTTTTAAATTAAATGTACCACTGCAGAATTTGAAGATTAGCAAACAACTAATCAAATGGGCAACAGAGTGAGATTGGTTGAAAGTCATGTCCTTTTCACAACCCAATTTACAGCCAGTGGACGCAGGTGTTTTGGTTTATTGGTCTTATTTCGTGCAGATTATGTTGGGAATCACAGCAGATACTTGGCCACTTTTTCATTTACAGCCTAACAGCACATCTTTATTTTTTTACCAGCAAACTACTTCTCTGCTACTCTTTTTACTTTCTCAGTTGCTTCACCACCAACAGCTAACTTTGCTAATTAGACCTTTCCCAGATAAATAGTGCTGGTGCGGATTAGTTTTCCTGAGAGGCGCGGGGCTCTTTGGAGACGGTTCTTAGTGTAAGCTCCAGCTGAAAGGCGTGCAGATACATTTTGATGCAAGTACTTTGGCATTTCTAGTTTCACTTTTCGCTTGATTCATCATTTTTTTTATGTGAGGTCATTTGCAGTATCATGTTGCGCAACCATTTTTTGTAAATATTAAATACAAAAACGGGACACAGTTGACAGCTGCTCCAAATAAAGATTCACTGCTTTCCCAGAAGAAAAGTCAAAGACTGGATTCTTTGCGTTTTCTTTTGATACCAACCATTATTTTACTGGTGATTGAAAACAATGCTTTAAAATAGGGCAGAAACATCCATGGGTATGTATTATCTAACAGAAGGGCTGCAGTTGCATTACAAAATCCACTCTAATAAATCGACTGCTCCGCAGGTTGAAATAAGGAAAGTGTGCCACCACCTGGACATTTTATTATTTTTCCAGTAAGACTGGCAATCTTGTTTCAAATTGTGTTGAAATGGTTAACAAGTTAATGAATATTAACTGAATAGAATTCAGTAACTGAATATTTGGTATAATATCCCGACATGAGATCCACAGACTTTAAGAATTGAACAACAAATTGATTCATTGGATTTTTGTACTGAAGAAAGTTTCACACAAACTTTGTCATCTTAACATTCTCATTTATTTTAAACACACGCTTTGAAAAACTTTAGTGCAAATCATACAAAGGATCTGTTGAGACATTGATTACATGATTTTAAATTATTAATAAATATATACACTTTGAAATGCTACAAGCACTTTTCACAGTTAAATAACAGTCTACCCAAACCGTCCTGTACATCCTCAACACATATTACCAGAGAGGGTTAAAAAGGCAAAATGTAAAACAGAGGAACCATTATAATTCCCCTCTCTCTCTTTCTCGCGAATAGGCCATTGTCAAGTTTTAGTTTGCCAAAACATCATGATAATCATAATTAAATAAGTACCCTGTATAGCACTAGCTCTCCAAACTAGCAGCACATAAAACATTTAAATCAAAACAGAATTTATCACACTCACATTTTGAGATTAGTGACCACCAGCCACAAACGTTCCGTACGTCTTCACGGGGTTCCAGCATTACGTTTCCATTTTGTGATTTATACCGTACACGTGGAATTAATTATTAACACTTCACACAACAAACTGCTGGCAATAGATTAGGCGCAATGATGACAAGCGTGAACGGTACAGAGACCCAAACAGACTAATTCTCACATGACTATTGAGGGGAATAAATACTCACATGGAAATATGTAAAAGTCTGTAAGGAAACTGGACTACAGTACATATTTCAAGATTTCAGAGAAAACCCTGTGAGGCCAAAACTGAAGTTCCTCTCCCGAAGCTGTTCAGAATGAAATTATTAAGTTGTGTAGAAATGGGAATGATGTATCCAGGCTGTTCAGATGATACACTACTTCTGTTTGCAGCTGCAGTGTCAACAAATCAAACTGTTTCCCAATAGTAGAAAATGGGTTTGTGGTGCCTTATAAACTCAACTCGAAGTCTAACGTATGAGATGAGGCTACTATCTGTTTTGAAATTCCATATGGGCGAAACACCAAACTAGTTTAATGGTCATCCATCCAATTTATGCCACATTTAGTTGTATTATATACATGTGATGGCACAAATTTACCAATGTCACATTCACACAAAACACAGACTTTTTAATTGTAATCAAGAGGGATGATAACCATAACAAGACAGATTGTTACAGGTGGCTTGTAGCCATAGTTACACTGTATAATAGAGCTGTGATTTTGAACCCCCCCACCATCCTATTGGGATCGCTGGAGTGCAAGCAATCATTGCCTTAGTTATTACCGCTTGTGCCTAATCATTGTCCAATGTGCTCCAGGCACTGTGGCTTTTCTCTCCACTCCAGTCAGACTGACTCTCAAAAACACACGCAATAAAATCTATCTGAGGTCTAAATATACAGCTAGTGCGAGCAAAACAATGTAAAAACCTTCTCCAGTCTAAAACATGTGTAGGTAGGTTTCGTTTCTTCCTACTTTTTTTCCTTTACAAAGATCTGGCGTGTTACTTTTGTGATGTGTTACTTTTAACCATGTAGTCTTGCATTTAGATCACCCTTAACTCCCTTATCACGTCAGTTATTGTCATTAGACCTTGAGAGCATCGTCAGAGGTTCAAGCGTATTCGCAATAACATATCCATCCCAATGAATGTAGCCGTAGAACAAGCATGCAGTAAGAGTTTAAACCAAAAGGAAACAAACAACGTATAAGAAAAAGTGCAATTGCATGCTGAGAATGATTGCCAGCTGCTATCCTCTCTGCAATTTGTTTTCTTTTTTGAAATCAAAAAGTAGTAAATGAGCAGGCTTCAAGCTCAATTCCTCCCACTTCCTCTCCAATTTGTGACATGTAGCAGTCAGATTAACTTCAAAGTGCAAATCCAAGCTGTTGACAGGAATTTCATGTAATCAAGGAAGAATATTAAAAAAAAACCTCCCAAGCTAAAAGCATTCAAATACTCAGTTGAATACATCCACTCACTGCAGTATCCGTAGAGATCCGTTTTTTTTATCCGTCTTCATTATACAGCAAGATGGAAACCGGGTCCATGGCGTCGCCCTTGTGATTAGCAGCTTTGCATCGCTATGAGAGAGTGAGAGGAGCTCCGCACAGCAGGGTCCTGAGACAACAAAAGATATACTGCAGAAGATATATACATGAGGGTTCAGCCTGCCCGCTAATCATTTAATGTTTTCTTTATTACCCATACAACAACAGCTAGTTCAATAGTACCCATCGAATCCGGACCCTGTGTACTGCAGGTCTTTGCTAAGTACTCAATGTTTGTTTGCACCACATCCCTAGATTATCATTAGGATCACACTCAAATGTGCTGTGACTACCTGATGGCCGCTGGTGGCCTGCCGAGGAGCCTTCAGGTGGTGGGAGTTGGCTCAGAGCTGCCGGTGGCGGCTCTGCTGACGAATTGCGCTCGGCTCTGGGTGGGAAGCAGCTCATCCTTCTGTGGCGCCGCCTGTTGCTGCTTCACTATGGTGATTTTAATGGGGAGCCCTTTGACGCCGTGCTGCACTCTGGTGTACTGCCGCATTGAGGGGTTGAAAGTGCGAACCACGGGGGGTTCATTCAGCGCGGGCGTCTCTGGTTTTGGTTGCGTGCTCTCCTTTATGATTATTTTACTTCTTTTGCTCGAAAAGACGGCCTGCACGGGCAGGATGGCGGGTCTTTTGGCAGGCCCCGAACTGGCTGAACTCTGCAGTCTTGTTTTGTGACGAGGCGAGGATTGTTGCTTCTCTTCCACCCTTCTACGCTGGTGTCCATCGTTTTCCTTTGTCACAGAAATTCCCCCGTCCTTCCTCTTCTTCCCCTCTTTCGGCTTCTTGGGGCAGACGGCCATGTGTTTGGTCCGGCTGCGGCGCATTGTGAACTCCCTGCTGCAGTGCGGGCAGACAAAGACCTCCTGTGGCTCGTCCACACGTGCAGGGGACATCTTATTGGACGAAGGGGCAGATTTGTTCCGCTGCGGCATGACCCTTTGGGCCAATTTCTTCTTCCTTTTCTTCAGCACCTTGAACTTGACTTTAACTGGTGAGTCTTGGCTGGGTTTGGACCGGTTGGGTCTGTTGGAAGCGTTTAGTCCGTTGGTGGTGTTAGTAGTGGACAAAACTCCATTTTGAGTTTTTGCAAAGTGGCGCAGAGGGATGGGATTCCTTTTGGGCGTGTATCTCCTTTTATCACTGGCATTTGCACAAGCCAGGATGTGCTTGTGCAACTCTGGCATGTTGTCGAAGCTCTTCCCACACTTTGTGCATCGGATAGCCGTGCTAAAGGTCTGCGGGATGTTGTGGGTGGTGAAGTTCGTGGCCGAAGCCACAGAGCCAGCGGGTGATCTGTTATGGTATGGAAACGGAGGGGGCTTAAAGCTGGGATAGTGTTGGTTAATGCCAAGACGGACATCGGGCCCCTTGACTTTGGCTCCGTCCGATGCCAGGATTTTTATTGTTGTAAGCAGTTCGTCTGCAGCCACGTCCACTACATTTTCCTCCTTTTTCACCAGTTTCTCGGGTTCCTCCGCAGCATCCGTGCGGTCTTTTATTGAGTTATTGTAGTTCTGAGGTCTTAGTTTACCCTTTTCTTCTTCTGTGTAGGTACACTGCTGTCCGGGATGTAATTCATCCTGATGCTGTTTCAGATTACAGAGATAGACAAATTCCTTTGTGCACGCACTGCAAACATAACTCCTGCCGACACCGTGGAGGCTCGATCGATGATCGAGCAAAGCGGAGGGTTTGCTGAAGAGCAGCACGCAGAACTCACATTTGTAGGGCCATTCATCAGCATGGTCTCCCACATGATGGCCCAGTTCTTTCATTGAATGGAAAAGCCGATCGCAGACGTTGCAGATGAAATTCTTGGTGAAATTCTGCTCTTGAGCGTCGCTCAGCGTGCTGTCTGAGGACTCGTCCTCTGAAGCTTGTTCCAGAGAAGTTGAAGTGTTGGAGGAGGAGATTTCGGGGAGGGAAACGGTGCCGTCAGCCGCTTCCTCCTCTTTCACTGATGGGGGCTTCGCATTAACAACAAGCTCTGGGTCGAGACTTGATTCCCCCACAGCAGGACAATCAGATATCCCTGAGGCGTCAGTGGCGGATAGAGTTACCGATTCTGCAATGGAGGACATCAGCATAGAGGGGCCCAGAGTTTGAGGGTTGGGCGCCGATACAATCTCTTGCTGTTCCATCTGATTGACGACCATCGGTGCTAGAGACTCAGCAGCCGGAACCACTCTCCCCGGGGCTTCGAGGGCTATGTTGCACTCTATCAACACGGTGTTGCTGGTTATATTATACGAACTAATGAGGGAGTCATTTATAGATGCTGTGGGCGTGAATGACTGTTCTGACATAGGATTGGACTCAACCAAAGGCTGGTTGAGAGCTATTTGATCACAGAGAAAAACGTTCCCACGTAGATTTAGAGTTGGGTCGAGGGACTGGGAGAGAGCTACAGGCTCTGTGGAATCTGTAGTAGCAAATGCTGTAGCTAAATCACACTCTGAAAAGTTGAATGCATTTTCCGTGCAGATGACCAGGGGCTCGGGAGACATATCAGGGGCTAGTAACTGGATTGGTTGGATTGGAGCGTTTGAAATGTTCGATGGTGCCAAAACTGTTATTAATGAAGAAGCAGTAGGTAGCACAGTGTGTGATACGGGGGAAGCGAATGCTATGGTACAGGGTGAAGCTGGTTGCAAGGCAACAGGGGTAAGGGATGCTGTTGATGGAGTCAGAGAACCGGATGGAAGTGCGAGCCCGTAAACGAGTCCCTCAGCCATGGACTCCATTGGGGTCATCACATCTGGACCTGTAAGTATTGTGAAGTCTGTGACTAAAGGATTCCCTAGGCTTACATTTTGCTCACCAACATTTATTAAGGCCGTCTCCGCCATGCATGCATCAAAGTTCCCTGCTTTCAAAACTGCCCGTGAAACTAAATCCAATGTCACTTCAGATTTAACTAGGGTGCTCTTTTGTAAGCTCAAATCCAGCACTGCCTCAGCTAGGGTTAACTCTTCGTTTCTTTTGACCGTATTGGAGAGATCCAGCGGTTGCTGGTTACAGGAATTACCGCCGGCCGCGGGGGGCCAACTCTCTGTCGAGACGGGCTTCACGGCCGGCTCCTCCGATGGCGTTTGCGTTGGGTCATCTTTCACAGTGGCTGTTTGCTGCACAGGTTGAGTCTCTACCTGCCCTGTGCTCACTGCATCACCACCTCCACCATCTGCCGTTTCGTCTTTGGATGTTGGGCTTTGCTGAGGAGAGCTCGGTGGAGAGCCAGTCCTTCTCTTGAACCTTCCCGTTCCAGCCGCCAGAACAGACAGGGAGACGGGGGAACAAGGCTTCTGGGCGTCCGCTATGAGGGCAAGTGTAGGTTTAAGGCCATCCTGTTTCTCTAGGAGCTGCTTTAGCTTCGGAGACAGGAACACAGTTCTCTCCTTCTGCCCAACCGTGGCCCCGGTATTCTGAGGGAGTAGATTCTCTATTAAAGAAGACACGAGTGAGGATGACGAAGAAGGCGCCGCCCCCTCAGACTCCAGTTCAGTTCTAATTTGAGGTAAAAGAGGTGGGGTTGCAGTTCTTCTCCTAACCTGCGGTTGACCAGGTATGTCTTTGCTTGCAACTGAATCTGCATTTAAAACCTGGCTGATTTGGGCCGTGTGTAGAATCAGGGCATCCAGTCCAACTAGGGATGAAGAACCAGAAGGAATCTCGGATGCTTCACAGCTACTGACTGTACTTGTTGACACTATCTTACCATCGATATAGAAGCTGAGATTCTCTGAGATATTGCTAGAAACATCTAGCATGTAATGTTCTGTGCACACCACGTCATTCTCCAGAACAGCAGCAGGTTCGCTATTATCCCCGACCTCCGTTTCCTGTTGAGAAGGTTCAGGGAGCATTTTCTGAAGATTTTCCTCTTGGGCCAGCTGGCTTTTTTCTTCACGTGTGACCTGCAGGTGCTGCTCGTGCATCCTGCGCTCATGGCGTCTCTTTTTGGTCTGTGTAGTGAACATCTTTTCACAGTACTTACAAGCATGACGCCCTTCTAATACTCCCGGTCTGTCTGGCAGAGCGCCGAGGTCACCGGGCGACACAACGGAAGTATTAGAGGTAGCGGGGGATGAAGAATGAAACTGCACGACTGAGCCTCCTGAATCCGGAAGCTTTGTCTTCTCCTGCTGCGACTGAGACATGTTGCTCTCATGGCTTTTGTATGCGGGTGCCTCGTGGTTCTCCAAAGCATGAGTGTGCGTGTGTTGTTCTAAGCCCTGTTTGCTGGTAAATTGTCCCTCACAGTGCAGGCAGGGAAAAGAGTTCCTGCCTCTTTCAGTATCCTGATCGGCGTGTTTGTGAATATCAGGGAACGGTGCCTTAACCATGTCTGGCTGCATGTTAGTTTCCTCTTGATTAATGTCATCTTCGTTCTCCTCGTCCTCCTCTTCCTCCTCCTCCTCACCTTCATCCAGATCTTCATTGGTGCCAATTTCAGAGATGTATAAGTGAGGAGAGTCCTCCATATTTTGTGGAGGTTGTATCCAGCTCACTGAAGGAAGACTGTCACACGGGACTTCTGAAAGCTGTCACACCTGTTGAACAGATAAAGACGTTATCGTCATTCAGCACTTAGTAGTACTAAGAGCAGTACTAACAGTATACTTGTTCATTAGCAAACATCATATTTTCATTTTTTTATCTAAATACTGTACATCATAACTCAATGTTGTTCTTGTCATATTCAGACCATTTTCTATTGGTTCAGACAAATTGCATTACTTGTTGTACTTACATTACTTACTTCAGTGTTTAAAGAATGAACGAGTAACATTAAAGTAGTATATATAGAATTTGTATCAAACCATCTTACCATTTTAATGATCAATGCAGAGTTGGAAACAAGCTTGTTTGTCAGATGAGCACAGGCTTTTCTTTCTGTTTGACAAAGACGACAGCAAAGCAAAGGCTTTAAAAACCCGCAAGGACCATTCCATCATATAGCGTGACACCTGAGGAGCACACACTGAGCAGTGTGGGATTAGCACAACACAGTGTACTTTACCTCCACGTTTGGCTGCGGATTAAAACAATGAATTTGTTTGCTAATGTAACTAAAGCAGAGTGGTTACATTATGTTGTATGTACGTATTTGTATTAATGGCTGAGCGTGTTAAATGCAGTAAGTGTTTCCTTTTTATCTGATGGTTGACCCGAAACAACGAATGGTAGAGTTGCCTTACTACAATACACACCTCAATCGCTGGCATTTTTTAAATAGCCCACTTTGCAATAACGAACATGAAGTGGTAAAAACATCTGGTGGGAGAGAATGGAAGGCCCACCAGATGTTGTCATCCACCTGCTTCCCCTCGCGAAAAGCACCAGCTCTTGTAGCATCACAAATCTATTTGACCAAATCATTTCTTCGATTATTCTTTTCTATAACCGGTATCTCTCGTGTTGTATCGTCGCTGTTGGACAAATAAAAACAAAACCAATCACGACGAAACGGAATCGAGATGTTGTTCCAACATGGGCCTCATTTAACGTAACGTGAGGATTTTTAGAGGCGGTTTCGTAATACTAACTTCCATTTCAATTCATCTGCACTAAAATACAACCACCGACTTGGCTGTCTGCCAAAACATACGTTTAAAAGAATATACGAACATCAGAAGGACGCGTCTATTTCATTTGATCTTTTCAACTGGGATCAGCCCGTCGCTGCTTCACCTGGTTTGATGACGCTGTCCCTGCACCATTGCTAGCTGGTCACACATCACGTCGTCACATTACGGCTCTCCTGCCGAGGCTACTGAAAACAAAAAGGTCAACTGGCTTTCAGTGAAATAGCCCCACTCGGGTCGTGCGACGAGGAAAACCCCAAACCGAATCGAAACCTTAGAAAGAGTCTCGAGGCTACAGTTAAGTAACGTTATGGGGAATCAGCTGTTATCGCTGTCGGAGCGTTTGACAATGCACTGCTAGCTGCGATGCTAGCTCGCTAGCTCCGGCTACGTTGCGAGTAGGATGTTCGGCACTGTCCGTTTAGGCAAATCTGCACGTAGCAGGTTCTGTACGTACGTGTTCCGAAACAAACCGTCGAAGAACGTTTTGAAATATTCCTCTCCTGCAGGTTGTGTACAGTAGAGTGGAGTTTTTTCCGTTCCCCAACGTACCAACATGATTATGACGTTTTGATTGGTCAGCGGATGTGGGTGTCAAATTTGAACCAATCAGGGGCAGGATTGTTGAGGCATGAAAAAAAAGGAAAAGAAACACCACGCCAAAGGCAACTGTCATCTGCGAGTCCGACGAAAGTGAGACGATTGGTGCACCATAAGTCAATTTTTTCATTAAAATGTGCGGATCTAACGTTAATCCCGTCGGCCATGTATTATGGATATTCATCTGAGATTATGCAAAACATGCCCACCGGCTAGTTTCATTCGACTTTTGCATCAATACAAAACTATTAAGGGAATAGAATTAGCTTTAAATTGCACAACAACACTGGGAGCCAGGCCCCTTGACCCGGTTTAGGCCTACAGTTTAACACTTAGGGTTTGGAGTTTTTTTTATTTTGATCATCTAAAACTTATTCATATTACCGAAGATACATTTATTTTAAATGATCCGAATACATGTATACCATTTTCAAAGTAAAAGTGTTAACAAAAACGCACTAACTTTATTACACACTTTATTACATTATACAGGTACAAACTGTACCTGCAGTGTACTAAGAAGGCCAGTAGAGGACGCAATGCAATACAGTCTCAATTTAAAGTTGGTTGAATATAGGCTAGAGTAACTGGACATTGTTGATTCTGTTTTCCAGCTGTTGAGACAAAAAGAGTTGTATGTGGGCATTGTGCAGCACATGGGTGGTGCACATCCATGGTATGTCTCTTGTAGCAGGTTGTATGTGGGCATTGTGCAGCACATGGGTGGTGCACATCCATGGTATGTCTCTTGTAGCAGGTTGTATGTGGGCTCAGTGGTGTTCCACTACACGCTCGACTTCTGGCAGCCTCAATGAAAGATGATTAGCGACGGGCCTCCCTCTCCAAAGGCTCTTCTCCATCTCTGTATTTTAGATGCAGCCTCCCGGTCTGCTGACACAGCGTGCTGTGTTAAACCTACGTCAACTTGGGCAACAAACTTTTAAACAGTATAACATTCCCGCACATAGTTGATCTAATTTCAAGGCCAGCATGATTATGTTTATTTATAGCTTGTCATAGTGTGTCACTCTGCACGCTCAAGGCTCCTGAATGTCTTACGCAGTTGATGGCAATCGCAGCTGTGGCATTATGATCACCATTGGGTGTACTGGTCGTATACCATAACAGATGGACACATACGTAAGCAGGTGCTGAACGCCTGGTAGTCATTTCACACACATGGCTAAGCAGTCCAAGTCTGTCATAAAGTAAGTATGTATTTTTCTAAATCTGAAAGCAAGTCATTACAAATGAGGCTTCATCAGATGACAAATTGAACTCCCTAACGATAGATGGCGAGTAAGGTACGGTAAGGTACGCGGCTTCCACACATCACGATGCATCCTCTTAATTCAGTCAGTCAAGCAAGCCTTACCAGGTTTGACTGCATAAATAAACCAGGTGCTGTTTGATTTTATTCATAAAGGACTAAAAGCTCAATGAGACATTTTAACAGGCATAATAAACCTAAAGCATTGAGTATCGATACATGTACGATATATATGCATATAGTGTATATGTAACATATCAATACTGTACCTGTGTCTAAATAGGATGTTTCATTGACTTGTGTTTTTGACCTGCAAAAATGAAATTAATAAAAATGAAAAAGTAAAATGCAGTAAAATGCATATATATAAATATATAGAAACAGGAATCACAGGAAACCGAGTGATAAGGAGAGAAGCTGAGACAAAGTGTGCCCCAGATTACTTGCATGGTATCATACACACACACACACATACACAAACAAACTTACCTACCATGCAAATATTACCCCAAAGTCCAAAAAGCTCAGTTCCCCCTGTCACCGCTGCGCACACACATACTCTGTAAGAGAAGCAGTCTGACCCCCGTGAACAGCATGCCATATGTATACGGGGATATTGTGGATACCCGCTTGCATACCACACCCCCCCCCATCTCCTCTTTCACTGACCCTCTGCTGCCACACTGTCACACACACAAGCAGATTCAGCTATTCCTTGCATTATGCATGCCGTGTCTGACCATACACTGCTCCCGTCCCCCCAACTTCATTCCCCTTCCTCACGCCACCACTCCCACCCCCAGCCACCCTCACCAAAGCGCCCACCTGTCAGCGGCCCTCCGGGCCCACGGGCTGACACTTATCTCGCGACGGCGAAAGCTCGCTGCACTCCACAGGCTGGACATGTGGCGCTCCCGGCGCACACGCGGACCCACACTCCGCTACTCCAATCACAGTAGGCATTCATGTCAACTCCATGAGATGAACAGTGCAGAGTGCAGACGTAAACTAATGACACGCACACGGAGGTAACGGCTCCATGTTTACACCAGTGTCTCGTCATGTATACAACACTCGTGCTTTGTTTCCTTCCATGACTTCTTGCAAATTTAAACAAAACATCCCCTTAACTAGACATTTTACTCATTTTTTAGAGATCGAAACCAAAATACATGGCAGTTGATTGATTTAACACTAACATGATGGTAAAGAGCGGCTGAGGCCTCCAGGATTTGTGCACATGTTCATGCACAAATCCTTTTATCAGGTTACAATCCCAACAGCTAAAATTGTTTAGCTGTTAAATAAGTACCAACTGCTTTCCAACCGATACAAATGACTACCAGAGTAAAGCACAAACTCAGAGTCAGCTACAAGTGCCTTGGTATTTCTATTTGCAACTGTGCAGGAAAAAGTACACCCAGTCTTAAATACACCGGGGTGGTTTAATATGGCGGAAAGACACTTTCATGGTGACCTCAGGAAAGAGGAGGGGAACTTTATGTAGTGACTTATTATTATGATTATTATTTTTTATTTCACATGCACACTTTTAGTGTCTTAATTAGCCGCCTCTGGTGGGAAACTTCTGTTGTAACGTTATGACTTTAACATGTGTTCACATGGGCCACAAAGGGCAAGTAGCTAGTGACTATGAGCTCTATTAGAGTATTTGGAAGTGTGTGTTAATTCACAGGGTCAATGCCGGGCCCACCCAGGAAGTGACCCCACCCTGCAGCGACGCACAGAATTCCCCTCTCGCTGAAGGGGAGAGAGGGAGCTGCTGGCCAGCAGCTTCACAGTAGCGACCCATAGCCTCTCCATCTGCCCCTCTCAAAAGACGCCATTGTTCCCGGCAGTCTGAGGCGAGAAAGTGAGCTAAAGAGAGTTATGAGGCTTGCCGGTGGGGCAGAGGGTTGGGCGGTGGGCGTTGGGCCGCTGCCTAAAACCACACGGAGGAGAGGCAGCCAGACAGAGCATCTCTGTGCGACTCACAGCCTACTGTTGGAGCCTTGCCTCGGCCTAACAGCACTGTATCAAAAAGTCCACTACATCACATAAAAAAACACACCCAACTGTCAGTGGGCTCAACCGAATCAACGGTCCGAGGCCATATGTTCCTCCATATTTGGTGTTGTTTGTCTCCCGTGTTTAAAAAAAAAAGAAAAATTAAGCATTACTTGAATGGGCCAATCGGAGTGGACGGCTTTCAATGACGTGTGTGGATTGTGGTGTTTTGGGCAAACTGAAGACCAACTAAAGCACTGCTCAAAAAAAAGAGTTGACTTTTAGACGTTGAAACCGTCACTACGTGTTCTAAATGATTGGAAATGGCGTCGACGATAACCAGATTTTTGAAAAAGCTATTGAGAAACTTCATGCGCGAAAGACAAAAACGTTTTTTTTAAGAGTGTTTTCAGTTTATTATTGAAACAGTATGAACAAAAACACTGCAATTAAATAAAAGGGTTTGAATAGATCCAATGGCACAAATTAAACCTAGAGCTGATGGTACGTGGCAAAGCTGAGGAGAGGAAACAAAGACATGTCGTTGCAAACTTTTGCAGTGTCTAAAACCTATTCATTAAACATTACATCACTCATTGAGTGCACATGTTAAACGAGTTTGTAAAGCAAGCAGAGCGAAGCTGAGACTTCATTATTTGTACACCCATTCGGCACACTTACAATTGCAACAATAACAAAATAGGGCATTACTGCCTAATACTGTGTACTAAAACTAAGTGAAACTATAAAATGTCAACCTGTGCACGCAATCGGGGGGGTTAGCTCATTTTAAGGACCGGTTTGCTGTTCTGGTAATCTAACTATTAACAAAAGTACTATGAAGACATTCTCAAGACAATGCTATCACTATGTCTAATAACCAAGGGCTGTTTCGTAAGCTTTAATATGGAACAAGTCATACTAGCTGTTCTGTCTGGAATGGGTGGCAGTTAAAAAGGTACAGTCAATTCACATTAATAATGCACTTCAAAAGTTAAAGTCCTCCAAACTACCTAGAGAATACCAGAGACAGTGGCACAAACCCTTCTGCTGAATTTCACAGATATGTATTAGGTTTTTATACGTCAGTGTTAAAGTGGGCAGAATGTCACGTTGCTCTTGCAAACGAGGGTGCCTTTTCTTTCCCGTTCGCTGCGTGCTCGCCCTCAGCGCTCATGGGCGCGCTGTGTCAAAACAACTCGTGCACACGGTGCTGCAGACGGTTGGCCGACATATCAGGGATTCTGGCTACATGAGAAAATATTTTAACTGGTGCTCAGGGTTGCTTTAAAAGTTCTGGTAGCCACAACAGCAGCCTGCCTGTATGTACTGTGTATTCTATAATAACAAACGCTCGCCTATGCAACTGCAACATATGAGAAAGTCATTAGCTGTGTGCTATGTAGTCCCCTTGCGTGGTATATATACATTCTGTGGAATTTGGAGCAATTTCTACTGCTGGCACCTTCCATTTGTAATTAACTTCCTTTTGTTTTTTCAGTAATATCCATTTGTGTCATCGGTCATTCTTTGAGGGATACGTTTTATGCCTAAAGGTCAGATAATCCTCTACATTCCTTTCTCTCTTTTTTTCTAAACAAAATGCTTTTAAAAAAGGCCTGAAATTCCAAACTACATCCTGCCGTCACCTTGTTTTGTTCTCTCCGGGGGAGCAGTGGGGAGGGATGCGACAGGGAAGATGAGGATGTCTGCTCATGTACCCCTCGTCTCACATACATACAGTTCATACATTAACACATACTAGCCTCCCTCCCCCTATTTGGCAAAAGTCCAGAGTGCTGGTTAGATTAGTTTAGTTACGGTATGGTGCTTGTTTTAATGGTCGTGAATGACGTCACAGTTCAGTAGTTCAGGATTTCCAGAACTTTAAACGCTCCCGCCGCTTGGCCGACTTCTTCCTCAAGGGCTGTGGGATAAAGAGAGATGAGAGTCATATACAGTTCCAGTAGGACAATAGCACCAAGCGGCCTTGATTTCCATCATGGTTATCTCAAGATCACTGGTTGATTATCTTATGATCCAAAAAAAAACATGCCTCATTATCACGAGAAGATTTCCAATAAAACAAAAAACAAAAGTTTGCAGTCAAATCAGCTGACTGTGAATGGTTGGCCCAGATTGAGCTCACTGTGAAAAACTGAAAAGAATCTTTACTTTGGAAGGTGTTTTATACAGAGTAAAAATGGTTGATGTTCAGAATGTTTTAGTCAGGAATAAATGCACTTTTTGCCAAAAATGAATGCGTTAATCATTTGAGATAACAAAGTTTTCTTTCCTTAGATGACAAGATAATCAAATTGTGATCTTGAGAAAAAGAAGAAAGAAAGAATTAGAAAAATATATCTGAGGCTCAACTTTCATCACCATTAATTAATCCGTAAACGTCTTGAGTTTAGCGTAATTTCATGAGGTAAATTTAAATTAACGACAAAAATAGGCACGGTGAAAAAAAGATGGTTTTAGATTTAATTAAAAGATTTAAGTAGTAAATCGATATGCATAAAATAAACAACATACGGTTTACATAAAAGTATATGAGAACCGTTAAAAACACCTTTTCTCTTTGGACTGCATGTAACGTACATGAGTGCAGATCTTAGGAAAACATATTGTGAAATAAACCTTCATTTTAAAATAGACCAACATGACAAAAACACGTCAAATAGAACAGAACGACTATGTGTTGCTGCCCCACGTCTGACCAACAAGCCCCCTGTTTGTAAGGATGTGTTGATGTGACTGCTGGTCACATACACAGACACTGAGTCAATAAACAAGCTAATTTTAAGGTCAAATAGAGCAACTTGTCCCCATGAATGCCCAATTTTACTCCTAAGGCCATGACACTGCATCAGGAGAAGTAGCTACAAGCAACAATCTTTGTCTGGGTATTTTTGGTGCGGGGAGACATCTGTTAGTTTGTATATTAGGACCACGATGAGCTTGGAGGGGTTAAAGTGATTAGCTGAAGGAATCAAATAGAGACATTTACAGAAACCACAACGCTGTCTTTTTTCGTAGATTTTTTTGTTCTTGGCAGACCAGTGACACAAGAAACATTCATCATCAGCATCATCAATAGCAGAGACCAACAATGTAGGGCATGACGGGTCACCTCATCCCATGCAGCCACTTCCTATCCAGGTCCCATTACATCACTATCTGTTTTATTACATCATCGGACGGCCCTGTGATGACTAAGAGCTCATGCTGTTTCTTTCGCTGCTCACTTCCTGATGTGATGACTGACTGCACAACATTGGTACAACCTGCATTCACATGGGTTCAAGCTGTGTGTGAGTGTGTGCGTCCGTGTAACCACCTTTAGAGATGAGGTACTTACGAGTATTTTCCCATCCTCCTCACCACAGCGATCACCACGGCGATGGCGATGACCACTGCCAACAGAGCGCCAATCACGACCCCGACTACCTGGCCAGAGCTCATGCCCTCTGTGGGACGGAAAGACAAAGAGAAGAGTTGGCACCATTCACACTTCAGTTGAATTTTGATATAGTGTGATATATGTTTTTTGCAGACCAGTGAAAGTTTGGTGGGATATTTCTTTCTACAGGTAGATTAACGACCTGAAATTATTACAGAATAGCATGCATGCAAAAAATGGAATAGAGTAATATTTAGTAGTGATAGTAATATTTAAAGAGATTCAAGGCCTGCTACTTGTCAACCCTTTATAGCACGGCCAAACACAACATCCCTCTTCTCCATATCAGGTTGTATGATCCCTGTCAATAATGACGGCTGACTTAAAACTGCCCAACTTAACACCACCTATGCCTCCATCCCACACATCCCTCACCATCTGACTGTTCTTCAACAACCACCGCTTTTTCTGTCACTGCTTCCGTTGGCTGGACTTCACCCTCTGCTGTGTTACTGGGGTCTGTTATGTCCACTACAGTGACTATGGGTTCTGGTGATGCAGTAGAAGCAGCTGGGGCTTCCGTTTTCACAGTGTCTTCGGTATTCAATGCAGTGCTGGGGAGCGCCGTCCCGGTGACAACTTCCGTTGAAGCGGCTGCTTCCGTTGCCGTGGCTGCTTCTGTTGCCGCGGCTGCTTCCGTTGTCGCGGCTCCTTCCGTTGCCGCAACATCTTCTGGGGACGTCTCTGGTTCGGTTGCAGGAGGGTCAGGGGTAACAGTCAAGTCCATTGCCGAAGCTTCTGTAACGGCAGGTCCAAGGTCTGCTACGGCACCGTCGCTCTCATCAAGGTCTTTGGGGATCTCTGTGGGGCCTGGGGGCAGAGGTCACAGGTGGGTTACGGTTCAGGTACAATCACTTACTGTGACTGTCGAGCTTCTTTTTGTGGAGCATTCGTATATATATTTGACCCTTGACCACTGATTTGTTAACTTTATATTTTATCATGGTTATAGGTGTGACTCTATGAACAGACAATGCGTTGGAATAGTGAATGTTTGGACTGGCAATGATAATGGTGTGCAGGAAATGTCAAAAAGGTACAAGAAGGTTTAGATTCTTCCTCTACATAATGACGTGACGACATGACAACTTAATTTTCACCAGCGCCGTGATGGCCTGACACGCACACCCCGTGACTTCATAAAGTCCACATCCCCCCCCCCTCCACTCCTTCCCCCCTCCATCGTGTCTTTGAGGCTCTGGGTTTGCGCGTCGGCACGCCACATCCTCTGCCTCATTTCCTGTGGGGTGAGCTGTCCGTTAACCCCACCTCTGAACATGTGAAGGGTGGGGCTGATCGACGCAGAGAGACACCACAACGTGGTCCATTTGCAGTTTAAGCATTTGTAGCTTTTGATTCTCTTTATTTAAAAAAAAAAAGTTTATTTTATTTTAATTTTTTTATATCAGTCTCGTGTAGCGATTTTCAATGATACTTATGTCCGATCTGTTTTTTGTCAGAGCTCAAGGAGCTCAGTGCTTACAGTAAAATGGAGGATCCCATTTTGGATTTAGCATTGGCCAAAATACATGTGTTTATCCTCGTGTCTTTCATCATGGTCTGGACTACGCAGCATGCAGGACTCAACCTAATCATTCCCCTTCAATACCCCCACGTTCAACATCCTCGCAGCCACAACTGAAAGCTTTGCCTGGAGAGCGCTTCCCCAAAACTAAGGACTTAGATTTCAGTGCGGCACCAAAATTACGGTTTACAGTTAACTTTCCACTGACAAGACTTGTTGGCCTGAAATCGCTTATTTTTTCCCTTCCAAACTACTTCTCTCTGAGACCTGTGAGTCATCTACTCTTCGCCTCTGACATCATGCTTTCTCCATCTCCTTTTTATCCAATTGTTTGAAATACTTGAAATAATAGAGACTACTTTAACGTGGGTAAAAATAACCCTGAATGTTCTAACAATCGGTGCAGTCATTCGTTGTTCAGCGTTTCCTAGCATGTTCATTAGCAACAGGCGAGATAAATATAACAACATATTTGTTCCCACTGGTGGTGCAGAGTACTGAAGGTATATCTTTCTTTTTTTTTTAAAGACAGACTGTTTGTTTGGAGAGTCTGTAAGCGATGATAAAATGGTCTGTGCTCCACAGAGCATGGCCCTGCGCCGGCTAATCGCCCGCTCCACCCCAATTGTTCCATTATGTGTTCGGTTCCCACAATTAGCTGTGAGTAGTATTTCCTCCTCACTGTGCAGACTGTCCGGGGTTAATGCAGCTGCTTGGTGAGTCATACAGTAAGTCTGCTGCAGTCTACGTCCGCTCGCCTCTCGTTCCTTTTAACCTCTCGTGTTCATGACCGTGCCGCTCCCCAAGGACACACGTGTTGCAGCTGAAACCTTTGAAAGGGGCCGAATCCCTGGAGAAACCAAAAAGGGAGAGCAATACTGCTTAATAATGCCTCTGTGTTTTTCTATCACTGCTCATGTTAAACCACAGGAGGGTCTGAGCACAAGATCAGAATCTGAACAGGACCCCGTTAAGCTTGGAGTGGAGGTGTGGGAGGGGGGGGGGTCAATTAGTCAAAGATGTCACTAGATATGTGAGCAGCATGTAAACTCATTAAAAGCTCAGTATGTGAGGATCCGTGCACACATTAGAAAAAAGCAGTCAAGGTTTCTTTTTTCAGTCTTTCAATCGTAGACAACGATTACGTAACTGTGGCCTCGACCTTATTATTCCAAACGTTTGGTGGTGCACTTTTGGTTTGGTTATTTTACCCACGATTACATCATTCTGGCCACACATGTTCTCTCACATCCTCTTCCAGGTAAAGCATAAGAGCTTGAAATCATCAACACTTACCAATCGTAAAAGGGCCAGTCGGCTTATACTGAACGTGCTTGTGTGTGTGTGTGTGTGTGTGTGTGGACCTGCGGCTGTCACTGATGTGGCCTTAAAGGGTTGATACATTGAGATTCACTTCACATTTCTCTCACTCATTATGGAACAGCAAAGACAAGGGAAGTTGGAGTGTAAAAAGGCAGCCCGACATGAAGAGTTCAAAGTGAGAGAAGCAGGAATGAGTAGTACGGGGACACGAGGAGAAGCCGTGGAGGCCTCCGCGTGGGGGCATACATACATAAAACCTGCAGCGAGAGTGAAAAAAGTGAGGGAGGGACGCGGCGATATGCGAGGGAGTAGCAACCTTCCATCCATTGCAATCACAATCAGCTGTCACTGGGTGTGTGTGTGTTTGTGTGTTTGTGGGAGAGCCACTAATCGACAGTGCTGTGTGGGCGGGGAAAGGTCCGTGCGGACGGCGCGAGCGTGTCCACCTTTGCGGCCCAGGAATGTCCTCCCTGCGATGGAGGAGGGAACGTGCGAGAGAGACAGGCGTCCTTCCCATCGCAACACACACTTTGACGAGATGCCGCACAACTGGGGATTCTAAACAGGGGGCGGACTATTGAGTGGAATATTCTCAGTCTTGCTATTGACGGCAACGCAATGAAGTCCACAATCGTACAGCAACAGATTGTTTTTTTGCCCTCTTGGTCTGACTTAGATAGGACCGCATGCCCCATCTGGTCCCATCTGGACTCTTATCGCCGGGGGCAGAGACGGGCCCAGATAGATCAAGTGGGCCTTTATTCTTGGATTAGATTAATTAAATTCCTGAAATAAGTAATGAATCCAGGCAGGGATGACATTAAATGCATCCACTTCTAAAAGACAAAATGGAAAGATCACGCGGTGGAATCACAAATACTCCCAACTCCCTTCTGTACTTTCAAACGAGGCCAAACAGACCTACAATTTAATCATGAGGCTTTTTATTGATAAAGTTACGTGTGGGGCATTGCGGCTTCCTTTGATAGTGGGAGAGATGACATGAAGCATAGAGTCTAACTGGGGGAAGGACTTGTCCTTAATGTCGTGAGCAACAAATAAGACCCAAATTAAACCTTGTTAACATTAGTTGGACATGAAGTCCAACTCCCACGTCGTAAAACACCCACCCAGTTGTGTAAGTGTTCCTTAGTCAGCAGTCCTCCAGATTTTTTTTACATTCCCTTGGACCACGTCTCACCCTGCCGCACACGTAGGTGCTAGAGATGTGAGACATTTGTGTCAGGACTCCCAGAGGAGACCAACCCATACTGCCACAGTCACCATGGGCTTGGGCCTGGTCCCGGGCTAACAGCGCCTCACACTCCTTTCCATAAACAGATGTTTCTTTCTCCTTGCGGAAAGCTTGGCAGAGCCATTCTTTTCTCTATAAAATGTTGACGCGAGAGAGGTGCTTCTTTCCTCATGGTCCCTCTTTAACAGCATTTGTCTCATACTTGGAGTGTGAGCTCAACATTTTAGTCATTTCTCAGAACGGGCACGGACAAAGGGCATTGACCTCTCACTTCAGCAGCCAGATGTGACAGGGACGTCATGGGCCCGGAGAGAGGCAGACAAAACTCATTAAGGAGCCCGGAGGGGGGGGTGGGGGGGAAGCAGTGTTTTTTTTTTTTTACAGGATACGTAGGGGTTCGCTAGTTAAGTGAGCAGGCTCGAGGGAGTTGAGAAACCCCCCATTTGTGCAGCACAGCAGTGAAATTAGCTATTTCCTTTGTTTCCACTGAAAGACTCTGCCGGCTGAGCTCACAATCCTCCGGAAAATTTCAAGGACTTTTTTGTTTTTTTCTGCAGGAAAATGGGGCAGACATGACGTCTCCTACCGGTAAAGGTTGTTGTTTTAAAAATAGCGCCCCCCCTCCTCCCCCTCTGCTCCCCACGGGCCGGCACCAACCCTGTCCCCCCGAGGTCCAGACCCAGCAAGCTCAACAGGGGGAAGCTGGAGGACTGTTGAGAGACAGCGGAGAAGTAGGAGAGGTGTGGGGGGGGGGGGGGGGGGGGGCAGGGTTAAGTGTAAGCGTATTACCCCACCAAAGATGGGTAAATGCAAGGGGTGGCGTGCCGCATCGCCTGACAACATGCGGGCAGAAGAGGGTGGGGCGCCTCCCAAAGCTCGTCGCGTTTCGGGTGTTCTCTCTCTCTCTCTCTTCTCGTCTCTCATCCATATGACCCTCTTAAATATAGAGCCTCTCTCTATTAATACATGCACGCAAACCCGCCCTGCCCTGCCCTGCAGCTCGCTGAGGCCTCAGCCCCCCACACACACTCTCCCCCCTCACAAGGCAAAGGAGGGGAGCAGAAAGAGAGAGAAAGAAAGGGGAAAAATACAAACTGGAAGAAAGCGAGGGGAAGAGAGAAAGCACTGATGCAGGGTGGGAGAAGTGAGAGGATGAGGAGTGAGTGTGAAAGGCGACCGAGGACGAGCTCTCGGATGAACGTGCGCGGCGTGCGTTGCTGTTTACGGGGCCCCGTCCCTCCCCTCCCCGTGTATGAGCACTGCTTTGGGAGCCATCCAAAAGGATATTCCTTTCTTCTCCTCTCTTGGCCGGTGCCAAAAAAGCCGCAGACACGAGGCAGCAGAGCTCCGGCTATTACGTCACATTTCCCTTTTGGTGTCGGCAAATCAAACCTTGGCTCCAGAGCTCAAGAACGGTGTGAAAAAGACGGGAGGGAGTTCAAATGTTAAAATCAACACATACTTTTTCTGCCCTTGACCAAAATGTGGCTTTTCCATCAGAATAATCATCAGCTAAAGTGGAACATAACAAAAAAAGGCGGCAGTTGAAAATATGAAACAAACATAAAGTATTTCAAATGAGTTGCACGTTAATTGCACGTTAATTAGCCGGTGAACACACAAATCAAAACGGAGTTTATTCTGCCCCCTGAAACCAGCTTCCACAGTGTTGCTGTTCATTCGCCCGGGATTAACACAGACAAAGAGCGGTGTGCGGTGGGCACATGGAGGCAGTGGGGGGGCGCAGACACACACACACACGCCGTGTGCTAACAGCAGGACCGACTTCACTTACTTGCATGTGTAAAGGCACAGAAAGGGCCGACCAGGGCCAACACCAGCAGCAGCTGAACGTTCATCGTGGCGAAAAAAGTTCTTCTCCTCCGACTCAGACAACCGCCAGGGATTCCCTCGGGGGGGGGGCAAAGAGCGCGACACCGGAGCTCTCGCACGCGCCAGACACGCACCAACCGGCCTCTCCGGAGGGGAAGGTGCAGGACAGCAGAATTGAAAAAGAAAAAGTAGGTGAAAGTAAATTCTCCAGGGGGCAGTTTGGTGGTGGTGGAAGTAGCGGCCCGAGATCCGGCTTGCTATCAGTGATAAGAGGAAGAGAAGCGGTGGAGGGATGTAGAAAGGACGAGTGGAGAGAGCTGAGAGTGGAGAGGCAGAGCGGGACTGGCACACAGCGGGACAGAGCAGAGACAGTGTGTGTGTGTGACTGCAGGAGGGAGGGAGGGATGGGGGGGTTGGTACTGGTGGTGGGCTGGGCGGGTCGAGCAGCGAGGGGCAGGTTGGTTTGGGAGGAGGGAATCCGGATTGGGGCAGTAAGGTGGCTTCAGCCCCTTGTGGTCCGGCCCCGTGTTGGATGTGCTCTCTTCTGGGGGCGCAGCCAAGCCTCCAGTGAGCAAACCCTGCAATATCCTGCACACACTGGGAAATACTGATGAATACACCGCTGACGTATTTAAAAAAAACACAAGCTTTTCAAACTATAAACTGGCCGACTCATACGATTAGAAAGCTAAAGCAACAGGTCCTGAAAATGCTTTCTGAATGAACAGAGTGGAATGTTAACAGAACAGTTAAGAGCCAATAGAAAGAAAGAGAGAGAGAGAGAGAGAACATAGCTACCTATCAGCACCCTCACCGGTACCTAAGGGTTAAACAATCTGTATCGATTTCTCAAACCATCAACCATCTTGTTCTCACAAAGGAAAAGCAGCAAGCGGCACGTCTGTGGCTGACGGACCGAAGCAAGAGAGCGCCGCTGATCAAACGGGTTTCCCCGGTGAAAAGGAGCCGCAAACACAGTTAGAACATTGTGTGACTTTCACACAAGCAAGCATGGGTGGTCTGCCGGCTTTAAGCGTGATGGAGGGCAAACAGGCCGCTGCCCGGCACGAGGCTGACACCTGTTGGACAACAAGCAGCCACAACGCCAAGTCTCCGCTCTTTCAGTGTAGTTTAGATTTTTTTTTCCCCCCTAAGATGTTGGATTTAGAGACAGTTTTATCACTATAGCAAGTTGCAAACGGTCTGTTAACTCAAACACGCCGACAACTGGTTGAATGACAACAGCAGAAGTGCAGGTTTGCGCAGTAAAAACGGTTGATGACATTTTAATAAACACTGAAACAGATTTGAACTGTTAGATTGCCATACACAGATTATTTATAACACACGAAACGCCAATGCCATTTTTTACCACTTATTTACAATATACTGAAGATATGTACATACGGTGTCTCCTGAAGGACAGATAACAAAATACTTTCTCTCCATTTGCTGTTTTCTTTTTTCAGTCTGTGTTTTTCGAGGGCAAACATAGGAGTAACGTATTGTTATTTACAGGGACAACAACACACAAACATACTAGATATATATGCTGGTCACTGTTATACAGCATGTAGTGGCAATAATAAAGATTTTTTTTAATTTTTTTTTCACTATGAGACCTTGTTTAGACCATTCGAAACAATCACTGAGATCCTCTAAAAGAAAGAGCACTTTAAAGTCCCAAATTTCACTTTGTACCCACATAATACCAACAAATTACTTTTTATATCCTATGAATATTTTTTGAGCTGTACGGAGCTGTTTGTTCAATGCAATCTGAGAAGACTATACACACTTGTACACACAGACAAAATTAATCATCACAGTAAGAAAAGTTGAGCCTTTGTTTAGTTTTCACTGATCTATTTCTTTTTTTTTTTTTAAATGCCTTTTAAAGAAATATAATCTTGATGTTTTTTCTTTTATTTCTGTTAGCTAGATCCTACCAAGTTTGGTCCTGTGCAAAAACTGCTAGCCGTCTCCTAAGCGAGGCATCTTGAGTCCGGACCTTCTCTGCCCGGTCATAAGTGATAATATGCACTTTCCCAAAACGACAGAACCATGAAACGTGGAAATAGATTTGTATCCTCGCTGCCAAAGTCCAACTCTTGCCGGCGTCTCACTTTTATCTTAATTAGCGCTTGCTTGATTGAGCAACTGAAAAGCCTCTTCCACACTATTTTCCATCCGTTAGCTTATAAGCTGACCAATGAGGGTTTGAATCGGGTCATCGCCGACAGAAGCGAACAACAGACAGCGAAGCTCACGTACGGACGCGTGAACGGCTTTGCGTTGGTCTGATGTGGTATGTGAATGTAAACGCCCTGAGAACATGGCACCATGGACACGCACACAAACACACGACGACGACAACAACACTGAACTAAAAGTTTAGACTTCAATGTGACAGAACAAACATTAAGAGCGGATTGTGGTGCATAGAACTTTTTGGGGGCAACGGAAGCTTTTATGGTGCCAGTTTTAACCAGCAGGTGATGCTTCACTCAACCACTGACTCGAGCTGCACAATTACTACTTTCCTCTTCGTAAATCATCCTTCTATATGTAGGCTGCAAAGAGGGAACACAGATGCCCAGATACAAGAAGGATGAAATAGTTTGTTGAATGTGTGTGTGTGAGAGATGATTTTCTGCAAGGAGTTTCGACAAAAAAACAAAGTTTCTATTCACTTCAGGCACAGGCGCTGGAATTTTGCAGATACGGCACAAAAAAAACCAATTCACCAACAAATTGACACGTGTAACCCTGTTGGCACTGGGGGACACGACGTGGGGCAATTCTTAGAGCTTCAGACTTCATTTTTGCATCTCTTCTTGGTCCAATCCTGTGTAAGTCTCATTGTTTTGAATGATAGTCCTTAGATTCAACATCCAGTCCAGCAGGATCAGAAAAATAACCTTCTGTCCGTTTTCTGTTTGATTGTCCTGGGTTTCTTTTTCCACGCAGGTGAAAGGGTTGTCTGCTAGTTCCACACTCACCTGTCACCCGCGTCTCATCTCCAGTCTCTAAAGACTTCACCCGCGGCCAAGTTTAGACGATGGAGTCCCAGTCAAAGTCGTCCTGGATGTCGTCCGCGGCCAGCATGCGTCTCACCTGGAAGTGTCCCAGAGGCAGCCTGTGCTGCTGCTGCCGCTGCTGCTGGTTCAGCTGGCTGAGATGACCTGAACATAGAGGGAGAGCAGAGCACTAGGAGATGCTGTTGCACCAAGTGATGGAGGAGCTTTGCACAGGGGGGGGGGGGCACTGTTTGAGTAATGGGAAATGTAGGAACCAGTGTGTTTTGTAGTTGACTGGAGACTAAATCAATCAATGCAATACTAAATTGCTGTAGTAACCCTTTAATAGGTACCTGTTACTTTGTCAATGCTGCAGTCTGTCACGCCTTGTGTATTTATATTTCGTAGTAAGAGCACATATTACAATGTCTTAATAAACACGGGGAAACCTAAAAACCTGAATGTAGATTCTTTCATCTTTTATGAACGGTGGGGTTGACATAACATCTTGCTTTTTTACTCCATGGTGTCATATTACTCCGATCAAACACACACACACACACACACACACACACACACACACACACACACACACACACACACACACATCTACTCTTCACTGGCCCTGCTCCTCCTGACCTGCTAAGAATGCGGTGGAGGAGTCACCTGTCATGGTGGGAGCTGTGTTGCTCATGGGAGGCATGTGGGGGTACCCTGGTGGGCCCATCAGAGAGGAGATGCTCTGTCTCGAGTCGATGTACAGGTTCCCTGTGGGATGACAGACGAGAGGGCAATGACTTAACCGCCACGTTAGAATCCCGTCCTTCACACAGCTTTACCGCCACCTTATGCTAAGCTTGAGGAATCCTACAGAACGTTCTGGAATTCCCATTGGGGAAACGTATTTCCGTCTCCTCATATTTACTCAGACTTCCACAAAGCCGACAACATCCACAAGTCTCTTGTAGATCTACAACAAGGAGGGAGGGGAGAGACTGTAACGCAGCAACCATCGCAGCAGCAACGTGCAGAAACCTTCTTCTGTCGAGAGTAGGACCTTTATTAAAATAATGTTGTACCTTTGTACTCTATTAAGTTCATCTGACTGCAGGAACAAATTGAGATCAACTCATGAATGGGAGCTTTTTGCATCCTAAACCGTAGCTCGCGGCGAGACGCCGGCTCCGTGAGGTCACCTGTGCTGATGTGTTGGTTGTGGTGGTTGTGGTGACCGTGCTGATTGTGCTGGCTGGCCTTCGGGTGCTGCGGCGCTCCGGCTGGCGTTGGGTGCGGGGCCTGAGGTTGTGGGTGGGCGGCGCCCTGCGGTGGGATAACCCCCGTGGCCGCGAAGAACTGGTTAACGGAGGAACACAGGTCGGCCACCTGGGCGGCGTCCAGCGACCAGTTGTTGAGCTCCGCCTGCCGCATGCTCTCCTTCAGGCCTGGTAGACGGACGGAGACAGACCGGAATGTTTTGCAGTTTTGATGTAGAACTTTACCTGCAATTTCTTTCTGGTCTCATCGTCAAAGCTACATCACGCTCGTTAAAGTTAAAAACCAAATTAAACAAAAGTCAACATTTCATAGCTGCTCATTGGCACCTCATGTGCATTATAGAAGATAAGAATAATAATAACTACATATCTATTTTACCACCTTGACAAAGAGTTTACAAAGTGCTTTCACAGACAACAGTGCAAGTTGATATTAACAGAAGTCTTTTGCATCGTTGTATTTACATGACATTTATGTTTTTTTCAGGTTTTGAGCTGTAATATCAAATAATGTGCTTTCAGTGTAAGGGGTGCACATCCTGTGATTCCAGGATTGATACGATTATTAAAATATATAAATAATACAATATGTAAGAAAAGAAATAACAAAAATACCACGATCGCTGTTGATGAGATAAGCATTGATTCCTGAACCAGGTCCAGTCTTCTCTTTAATCATGTCGACAGTAACAAGTCAATAATATGTAACATATATCATTGGGAAGTCAAATAGTGACAGTAACAGTTGGATAAAAACATACAACATGAAGTCACTGTCACTAGTTTCCCACCTAAATTACAAGTGATGAGGTCTTACAACGTTGCTGTTGGGTTTGGGGACAAAGCCGCGTCCTTCTTTTCTTTCATCAAAGACACTAAGCATCCATTCACAACCTGCAGTGTGATGTCTCCCAACATTAAATTCCTATTGCACTTGGCGTCCACAGAGACGAGACGCTGGCCCCTGTTCTCTGGAGGTGAGCCAGAAGCGGTGAACGCTGGCATTGCAGCGGTGTGAGGAGGGTCGAGAGACACAGCGAGAGAGAGAGAGAGCTGTTCTAAGACCAGCCGTCAACATCCATCGATGTTTCCGGCTTTGTGTGCTGACCGTGATAAGAGGCTGTTACCGAGCCGGGGCCTAATTGGATTATTCACATCATATAACGGGGAGGGAGGGAGACAGCGTGTGGGTGTCTTTGTGCGCGTGCTTGTGTGTGTGTGTGTGTGCGCGTGAGAGCGACGGAGAAACACAGAGAGGGCAACCTCTCAGAGGCAGGATAATGACTTTTATTAGGCCACTAGTATTACACCACTGCATGTTATTATATTGTGCCTCCAGGGTGAATGTATAAGAAAGCTCACAGAGGAATCATAATGGTTTAATCAAAGTAACAGATCGGCATAATAAGCATCAATTCAAAACAGGCTCCAGTAGACGGCTCCATCCTGTCAGATGCTGTTTACGCTAATGGCACCAGGACTGTTGGTGGTGATGTGTGTGTGTGTGTGTGTGTGTGTGTGTGTGTGTGTGCAGGATGTGCGTTACCTTGAAACGGGGAGAGGTCTACGTCAGCCCAGTTGTAGCTGGTAGCAATGTGGCAGCTCTCCTTCAGCCAGTCCAGGTTGGGGTACCAGTCAGACGACATGCCTGGAAGAGAGACAACACAGACGCGTCGAAAGAAAACGCCGGTTGTCAGTCGTTCGTAAACTGAGGAAATCGCGAGGTTCTCGGGGCACAGGCTGACATCTAGAAAAACATTAGATTCTAAATAATTCTAAATAAAAAAGAAATAAACAGCAATATCACATCGGAGAAGTGAATTCAGATAATACTCATTTTCTTGATAAATTACTTACTAAATACAAGCTTTGTGTGATGAGTGTGTTAGTGTCATCATCATATCATTATCGTATCATCCGACCTGATCACTTCACACTCCATTTATAAATACACTTTCACACACTCATCATACACTTGTGTAGAGTATTGTTATCTGTTCAACTGTGCACATTATTGTTATTATTATTTTGACCCATTTTAGTTTTAGTTTATATTCTACTATATAATACTGTACATTTAAATTGTCAATGTCATTTTTCCTGCCCTGTGTTATTTGTCTTGTTGTCCAACGTTATGCACCAACCGCCATGTCAAATTCCTTGTATGTCTAACATATCATATCCTGATTCCTTATCCAGATGACAACAGTCACAGTAAAGTTCTGCGATCAACCACAAGGTGGTGTGACTTCACCTTGAAAAAAAGCCAACCGCAGGTTTGCTTTCATTAAGGACAAAACAGAGGAGATGCTTTTCACTGCCTCCACCACCACGAACTACAAAAAACAATAACTGAGATGCCGTGGATCAAAGACTGAAGAATTGCTTTCGCTCATCCTCGGCTTGGTTAAGGGAAATACCAACCTAGATAAATAATGTCTGAAGAGTACCTTTTTTGGCCTGAGCTGAGTAGCAGACAAACAAAGACTGGGAATATGAGCAGGAGAAGCCTGGGAGAAGCTTTGGAGATGCGAGTCTGTATCGGCCCAGCCTCCTAATATCAACTGCTCTGGGACCTTATAGAGGAAATGCAATGAGTCTGTGCAGAGACAAGCCAATTTGGCTTTCTATGGTGAAATGTATTTACACTAATGTCGATCAGAACCAATAGCTAGGATATTACACCATACACTTAGACTAGAGGCTTCCCTTTACAAGAAAAAATAAAATAAATAAAAAATAGAAAATAGAACATTTAACATTTCCCAACTGCATCCTTGAGTAGTGTTATATAACTCAGGGTGTTTGCTTTTGGCTGAAGAAAGATTTTCTTTTGAAAAGTTGTGTTTAAAGCGTTTTTCAAAAAGAAAAGACGACGTTGCTTGTTGACACCGTTCGCTGCCAAGACGCTTCCAGCAAAACCTCAGAGCCTCAAAGCTCCCCGTCCTCACCTGCCGAGGGGCACGTTTGTCCAGTGTGACTCTGGTGGGAGAGGGGCGGGTGCTGCTGGGAATGAGCAGGGCGCTGTGGGTGTTGGCCGTGCTGACTGTGCGGCTGGTGCTGGCTGTGGGCGGAGTGAGGGGGGAGGTGCTGCTGAGGGTGGTGGGGGTGGTGTGACGCCTGACCGTGGTTGTGTTGTTGTTGTTGTTGTTGTTGTTGTTGGTGGTGGTGGTGGCAACCGCCGTTCCCCGCCCCAGGAGAGTGTTGGTAGGAGCACGCGGTCCGGGCCTGCTGGTTGGAATCGCCAGGCATCCCCATCAAACCTCCTGGAAAAAAAACACAAGAAAACATTGGGAAGGGGAGGAAAATAAGCAAGAAAAGGTTCTGATTATTAACAATACAAAACAGGTAAACTTGCAACGGTTCTTGCAAATGCCTTCTGAGCACGGACAGATCCCCAGGGGACAGGAGACTTCTATTGTACTTTTTGCCATCATTTATATGGTGTGTCAGTGTTTGGGACATACCTGTCATTTGGTGTGAATAAAAGGAAGGAAACAGAAGGACGCCAAGTAATTCTTCTTACTAGTGTCTTGACATTTTGGACTTTTATTTAATGGAAGATTGGATTTGATTTACTGGCATCTAGTAGTGTCTTGCAGATTGCAGCCAACTAAATATTAATAGTAAACCCCAGCAGCGTTAAAACGTATTATTGTTGTTATCTTTAATAATTTAGCACCAAAGCACCTTTAATACCATGTTTTGGTCCAAAAACCTACCTTGAGATGAGGTGAAGGCTCTCTCTCTAGAGCAGTTCTGGGCGGCAGTAGAAAGAAGCCAGATACTACTAATTACTACTACTACTACTTCCACTACAAATCCAACAAATCTTAATTTCCAACAAATAGCTATTAATATCATAATAATACATTATACTGTATGTTATACATTATATAAATAATATATAAATATTTACCTAAAAGTTAAGTTATGTAAGTTAAATCATCAATCGCTGTCAGTGTGTTGAAGAATTAATATGGTTAAATAAACAAAGAGAGAGAGAGATGGTTGTTCAGTGTGACCAGCAGAGAGAGTACCGTCGTCACCAACGTGTTTTCTTTCTATGACTACAATTATCTATATATATATAGATATATATATATATCTATATATATATAAATGTCTGAAGAGTACCTGAAGAGTATATATATATATATATGTTAAGATGTTTTCTTTTGTTCTGGTGCGATCACTGAAGTACACAGAATGTCAGAGCCGTACTTATAAGATCTCTTCAAACACCGCAGGACTGATACAAAGGGCTTGAATATGTATTTTTCTTACCAACACATCACCATGAAATGTGCGATCATGCCGAGGCTATCTGAGCGCATCGCAGTGACTTTTCCCTCCTGACGTCAGGGAGTAGTTAAGCTTTACCTGCTCGACGGGTGGGGTGGGGGGCGCGGGGTCGAAGTGGAAGGCCCGGTGACCCGAAAGCTTCAGGAAAGCAATTAGCAAGATGCTTCTCAAACTGCAGAACCGATCTAATTAGCTGCTATCAAAGCTGCAAAAGCCTTTGCTCCGCTCCACCGTGGATGTGTTGTGCGCGTTTTCCTCGTGCTTCTGTTGATTCTTCCTCTTAATTGCCTTTACCCATTAGACTGAGCGAGTCGTAAAACGCAGATATGCGGAACAACGGAGCGGTTTATTAAAATACAATGTAAGAGTAGAGTGTGCTGGAGGTTAACACTGGAATGCTTTTACAGCGGTGAAAAGCAATGTTAAATGCGTAGCGTTTCATCAAGGAGCTTGAGGCTGACAGTTAATTATGTGCATGACATCGAGGTTTACACGTTACATGTGTCAATTAGGATGTTCGACGGGCACACGTGAACAGATACACACTAATCCAACACTCAAAGAGACCCACCTTGCTGCGAGAAGGACTGCTCGAAGACACACTTGTAAAGACTGCGGAAGGAAGAGCTGAGGTCCTCGGAGTCCGAGAAACAGAGCGGCTTGTCCCGGGACTCCAGGATGGGCAGGTCGTACTGGGGCTGAGGGGGGGGCGGCGGCGGCTGGGCGGCCTGCTGGAGACTCATGGACTGGGACGAAGGCTCCGGGTGGCTACTCACCTTCAAGACAGAGGACAGGGAACAGACATCGAGACCGTGAGAAGGACAAAAAATACAACCAACGGAGGGATCGGTTTAAAAATAAAATAAAAAACATCTACGGCTGAATTCACAATGCAGCGCTAATATGACAGAATAATCAGAATGTAACGTGGCTCTGTGTGCCTTCCTGGTAGCTGACTGGAAGCTTCAGGGACATTTTGCAGTTCTCATCATTTATAGCGACGTATTGAGTTGGGCAGAGCTGCTCTGTGATGCTTTGAAGCAAATGACCACAGGCTCCACGCGGAACCTCCCTGAGCTCACAAACCCCAACTTGCATGAACATGTAGTGTCTCTGAAACGCATGACAAATACAAAAGGTGATGCAGGAGGAGGCTGTGCAGGTGGAAGGAACTAATCAACTGAACACCAAACAAATTCAATGAGTGGCAGATGTTTATATTGACTGCATATATATTTATATGAATTTATATGGACGTAGAATTGATAAGCGCATAAAAACACACACAAAAACACGGCGGTGTTTGATATCTGGGAACGACAACGATGCTGGTACCTGTAGAGACTGAGAGACATGAATTTCAATTGGCAGAGCTGCATTGTAAAACAGATTAAAAGTAACATTCAATAGTTATTTTCAAGAAATGTAATTGATTTTCCAACTGTACCATTCACATTAATCTTTCACATTAATTCTTTATAACAAATTATGTTTGTTTTTTTTATTCGCTAGGACTATCATACCAAATTCAATTTCACCCAATTAAAAGGGAATCTTCACTGGCACTAATTTCCTTTTCGTACGAACACAGAAACAACAAATCCACTGCTTGGTTTTTCCGTCTCCTTGAGTGATTGCCGCCTGTCTCCCCTCAATCATCTCGTCCTAGCTCTCATCCTGCTCACCAGACTCCCAGCAAACACGAGCAATTTGCTGCGATCAGTGCGCCTCCGCGGCAGACTTATAGCGCAACGCGTCCCCCCCCTCCCTCCTCCCACATCTACTCCAACTGCCTGGATTGAGATCCCTGCCAGCGATGCCACGAGTAATCCCCGTCAGGTAGGGAGGGGGGGGGGGATCACTCGTGCCAGGTAATGAGGCAGAACTAACCCTGATCCCAATGGACCAGACCGCGGATGAGGGTCTGGAGCGATCGGAGGAGGAGGGCCACGGATGGAGGAGACGAAAAAAGAAGGAGGAGGAAAACAAAAGACGGCCTCTGGAGACGAGAGGTTAACGAGATGAGATTGCGCTGACCTTTGCTAATGCAGGTGGCAGGTGAACGGGGGGAAGTGATTGATGGTAAAAAGGTGAGCAGCTGTTATAAGGGAGAAATAACAAAGGGTTGGGACTTCTCAGTGCTGCTGTCATCTTGGACCAAATGTTTTTGGGGCTGAGACTGGCCATTAAAAGTGTGTCGTATTTGGTTTGAAAGGGAAAGAACACAAACACCTTGACAGACATTTGAAAGACACGACAAGCCTTTAAAAAGACTCCGCAATTATCGGTGAACATTCATTTTTTTTAACCAATTATGAGGGAAAAGAGTGTAAAGCTGTTTGCTCCTGTTGCAGGTCTTTGCATATGAACTTGTGACATCTCAAATTTAGAGGTCACGTCACTGTTGGTATTTCCTGTAAAAAGCTTTGATTATATAATGTGAACTCCATTTGATCTGCTGAGGATACATTGTTAATAAATATTGTCATAAAAAATTGTCAATAAAAATCATTCAGCATGGGACAGTTTAGTTCCTGGGAGAAGGGTTGTCTGATCTAGTGCAGACGTCTTTTAGAGCATTAGGATTAGAGCATTAACGCAGCCAGAATCAAAAGTTTCAGTGTATCTGTGGCCTGCTGAGGCCCCCTTACAGAAGATGACAAGACGATAGAAATAAACCTCACTGCGTGTGTGAGCATGTGACTGCAGTGAGAGACAAGACCGTCCAATGCTTGCAAATGTATTAATTAATTAAATTAATTAAAATTAATAAAAAAATGTATTATAACCTTTTTCTCTGTCAAAAATACTGGAGTGGTCATTCATATTGATCCAAGTCAATAGAGTTAAACTGTCAACACAAAAAGGGATGACTCAAATATTTCCTTCAGTTTCATCATTTGCATCATCATCACTTGACAGAGGCAGGTCTTTGAAAAAAATACCAGCAATATTCACGGATGCGGCATTTATTTGTGCAACCTTTAGGGATGTGAAGGGCCACCTGCAAACAGTGTTGTTGGCTTACTAACAAACAAAAATATGATTCACGGACGGTAATGCAACGTGCAATGCACTTGTAATTGCACTTCACACCACACCTCTGAGAAGAACAATATACAATTTTTTTTTTTTTTAAACAATATATATACAAGTACAAAGATCTTCATGGGTGTCTGCAAGTTGATTTTTTTCCAGGAGCCCAATTGAAATCCTCCAGATAGAAAACATCAATTTTTCGTGCATGTCAAGCAGAAATTAATTTAGCTAAAAATGTGAATTATTTTGCAAGAGAGCATGACTAAAAATCAATGGATTCTGCAGACTAAAAAAGACACGCGAATGTTTCTGCTCATGCCATCGGCTTAACTTGTGTGGAGAATAATGCAAACGTCTTCTGTGCATACTAAACGTGCTCAACAGAATCCGATTGAAACTATATTTGAAATGTGTAGAAATGTGAAACAGAGCTCCAGCTGCACTGTAGATCCAGCGTCGTTAGCTGGTTACCACCTCCTCAGTGGGCTAAGGGTGCAGCAGACACCTTCCGTACCCACTGAGAGTGTCTAAACTGGGAACTGAATCATCCAATTTATTTCAGAAGCAAAGCGAACATCGTAATTAATTTTTTTTTACTTTAATGCTGTCGGTGTAACGTTTGCCTGTTCCGGAGAAAAGAAAAAAAGAAGAAGCAGAGTGTTGGAAAGGCCCGGCCTTGAGTCTGCAGCAGCACTAGGTCAGCTGCTGACCTTGTGCAGACAGAAATGAGAATGGAGAGATTTTTCTGCAGCAATCATTTGACTGTCACCCAAAAATAAAGAAAACAACTCACTGCTGTGTAGCCGTGTACGCCACTGACGGCCGGGTTCAGGTTGTTATGGTTGACGGATGCCAAACTGGGCTCTGAAAGGCTGTTGCTCAAGCTGCCCAGACTACCAGGACTCTCGCTGCCTTCTGCCTCAGAGTTGTACAGTGCAACCTACACACACACACACACACACACACACACACACACACACACACACACACACACACACACACACACACACACACACACACACACACACAGGATACAATCCATGTTAATGTGACAGTAAAGGCATTTACACAGGGCCAAGTGTTGAGGCAATACTTGCACCATATAAACTCCTCCAAAAGGCAGTTAATGGGGATTTTATTGTTCCGCTCCCTCATCTTTTTTCTATCCGTGTACTCCTCTCCAGCCTGAAGTAAACTCTGCCCACCTCCAGAAATTAACCATGCACCATTAACTGACGAGACAACTCATGAGGAAATATGGAAATTAAAGTGCCGGTAAATGCAAATTGGTCCCGCGACTGCATGACAGCATGGAATGTTAACTAATGATGATCTTTCTTCCTTGAACATGGTAATTTTGATTAAATGCCATGACCCAGAAACAGCTAGGTAACTTCAGAACTGACTTTATTGTTTGAAAATTGGGCACAGATTCAGAGGAAGTGCACTGCGTACGGTCTTGTGGAGACAGATCACAAAGCTTTTAAAAGAAAAGCCTCAGGATTATGTTGAATCATGTTTTCCTTGTTTTCTTTGACTGCCAGTAGTGGTGAAGAAGAGAGACAGCATTACCTCCAGGCTACATTTAATTGTATAGACAAATGTAAAATCCTAGCCTACGGCTGAGGGAACAGTTGAGGCTCTCCGGAACATCTGCAGGGCGGAAAAAATAAGCATTTTCTAAAGTCAGTTTCTTTAAGTGTTAATCGTGAACTGTTCCTGCTTTGGTGTATTTGATGACATCTGAGTGAACATGTAATTTCCCTGCTCTGTTGCTGTCATAACAAGAGAATAATTATGTGATTTATGAGAACATTGTAAAAATGTCATCTGTACATTAGAATTGAAAAGGAAAAATAATAATTATCAATCACCTCAATGGCTTTTGAATGATTTTATCCAATTTGTTTATTTGAAGTCAAAACAATATCTGAATAAAAAAAGAAATAATGACATTAACGATGTTGCTCAATGAAAATAGTTCCTGTTATGCCATGCTCTTAGTATTATCTTATAGGAGTATCATTTTCAGAAGAACAGGCACACTCCAATCACAAACATTAAATGTTAGTGTGCAAATGTGTTATCAAAGAAGCTGCGATGCGCTGCTGTTGCCTGCAGGACGCCACCTGTCTGGATGTGGGCGGACATCATTGGTGTTGGCATCAGCGTCATTATCATCAAGGTCTTTCTCTCCTTGCTCGGAATAATTTATTTTCTTTTTTTTTTCTGTATAGTGACGGCTCAGACGAATCAAGTTTTGATATTCCCTCTGGTAAAACAAAATAAGTGCAACATGCAAGAGGCAAATTACACCAAACTGTCAGCGAAAAACAACATCGCTTGATGCCCACCTCTCACTTTCTGTTGTCACATTTTCAAGACCTTATATGGCTGTGCAACAAAACTCAAACTCAATGATGTTGTATACACAAAGTTAACTTAGACTTTCCTACAATCTGGTGACTGATGAACAATAACCAAATGATGAGTCCACTAACGGGTCAGATTTGAGAAAATGCCTGCTGCCTTCCTTTAAAACTGGCCAGATGGAAGCTTCATTGAGAGCGTTTCCCTTTTCTTCTCTCATTCACTGAAGACGTTCATTTAGAATTTATTGCTAGAATTGTTGAAACTGTAAGTATGACGGTAACTTCTCTGCCCCTCTGCACAACGATGGATGATTTGGGTAAAATAGAAACTATTTAGATTACATCAATCTATGCAGGACTCATTTATTAATTTCATTCTATACAAATTACCTTTAACAAGATACGTGCTTATTTTTTTCTGACACACATAGAAGTAGAAATATCAAGAAATATAATTATTAAATAAAGCTGGAACCAGCATTCTTCCTATCTTTGGTGGATTATTGATTGCAGTAATTAAACACTTGGCTACATAATGATGGTGATACAATCACTTCTCTTATAAAAGGATTTCCTATCAACAAATCCTGTCAACTACGAGTCAAATGTGAGAACTGAAATAAGCCGTCACGTCCAGACCTTCACATTACGTCCCGAACAAACACTCGGGAGTTATCTGAGCTGCTGCTGGGGGGCAAATGTTCCTCTGTGGTCAGGATCAGACAAAGAGGCCACGTCCCACACGTCGCGTGGGTCGGAGGGTCGGTGGGGGCAGCAGATCAGACGGCAGTCAGAGGTCCCAGTCGCTGCACCGTGTCTGACTCTCATACAGACAGTCACACTCAGCTCGGCTTTTCAGTCAGCGTGTGTGTGTGTGTGTGTGTGTGTGTGTGTGTGTGTGTGTGTGAATGTGCATGTGTGTGTTTCAGTGCATAAGGTTGTGCGAAGGTGAGTGCCTGTAAAACAGTGTGTGGATGTGTGTGACCACCATACATTGTTTGATCCTGTAAGACTAATTCGGCTGCAAGACACTGCTGCTTTGCCACATTCATCTCAGCTAGTACAAAGGACTCCAGCGCCTGGACTACGGAGTCATCATTACACGTCATTGTGAAAGGAATATTCATTAGACGTTAAGCAACATTTTTCTGACAAGTTCTGTGTGTGATATGGAACAGAAACAAAAAACATGACAGCATAACACACTCGGAGTTAGTTGATCCAGCAACCCAGACATTAAAAACGACATGCTTTGACTGTGCTGCTGGACATTACTAACATTTCTCTCTATTTTATGATTCATATGGTTTTAAACAACCAGTTTCAAACTATATAAATGACTAGTAGTAAGAAACTGTATTGTGAACTTCCAGCTTAGAAATATAAAACAACCTTTTAAGCTCTGAGTTACAGATTGAAAGTCAGGTATAAAAAACATCATGTAAAATGTAAAACTCTGTGGCTTCCCAAACATTCAACTCTGGCTGCAACTGGTGATCATCTAATTATTGATTAATAGACGGATTGAAAACTGACACTGAAACTGACATCCCAACTTGCAGGACCCACAAGCTGTCCCACAGCCTTTTTTAGTGAAAGAACCGGAAGAGAAAACACGACAAGCATCACATTCTCACATCTGAGAACAGGAAAGGTTTTCCATTGTTGTTCGAAAACGGTATTAATGAAAAGATGAATCTTTTATTGATTGATCACTGATTCATCGACTAATCATTGAGCTCTGCAGTCAACTGTGAACAAATACTACTTTTATAACAGGAAGAAGTTTTCAGATCAAATTGATCAAGTGCCAGTTGTTAAAGACGTTACTAAACTAAGTGTATGGTGGTCGCCAGCAGCCAAACACACTACAGGAACTCAGCAGTTCAAAAGCAACAAGGTAGGAAAGTACGTTCTTCCTGCTGACCATTACTCAATGTACTATTAGCTAGAAAGAAACAATTGCTGGTGTCGTACCTTGTTGGTCACGGCATTGATGGCCAGAGTCGGGGACGCCCTCCCTGACATGATGCAGTCCATTCTCAGAGACTCTGACTCCAGGCTGTACGGAGTTGATGCCTGCAAGTAGAGGACAGAGGACTGAGAACGGGGACGGGATGTGTTTTCCTTCTGGTTCTCCATATACTCGCATAGCGTCGCTTCATTTCAACACGCATACAATTCATTTTCATTCGCAAATTAAAGCTGGTGTTGGTAATCTTTAGAAACTACCAAGAGCACCGTTTGCTGGATTGAAAAAAAAACAAAGATCAAAGGAAATTGAAAAGCCCAGCGTTGCTGACTCCTTTGCAATAAAAGTAGCTCGCAGCACCAACGACAATAGTTGCTAAATGCAGCAACACCGACAGCCGTCCTTCAGGGTTCCCGCCAGACCCCCTCCCCTCAAACCAGCACTATGAACTCAAGCATGATGAACAAGCATGGCTTTTGTTAGTGTCAACAGCTGATTGTGACAGTGGAAATTACAGAGGAAATTTAATTTGATAAATGTCACGTGAAATCTGTGGACGCCGCGACTACGTGAACCCGCCGAGAGGCGCACTTCATTTTAACGGCACTCGAACACACTGTAAAGTAGATACATCGCTCGCACTTGATAAGATGACTGAAGCCATCCCTCATGCATTACATCCAAAAACGCATTTAGCAGCACTTCATTCTCCGCTGTCCTCATAAAGAGCTGCAGCACAGTTAGCCGAGTGTTTGGAATATGAAGAACTGTTCAAAGATCGATGAAATCAACGCCCACAAAGTGGAAAATAAAAAATAAATAAAAACGAGGACAATATTTTTTTTTCCCCCTTGTTTGACTCCTTTCAGGGTTCAAGGCCGCTTGCGTGCCTTCCCAAACTGCTTACAGTAAGAGGATTGGTCGGTAACAATGCAATCTTTAATTTATGATAAACTCCCAGTGAAATGGGTTGTCGGTTCCCCGGTGGAGGCACTTAAGAAGAAGACAACGGAAAGGTGAGGAGAGGAGTGAGCAAGGCGTGTGGAAGAAGGGGAGCGAAAAGGAAGAATAGGTGGGGAGATAATTGAGCGGTGACAGAGCGGCAGACAGGCAGACAGAGAGGCATGCAGGAAATGAAAGAGAGTGATTGTGCTGAGGGGCACCGGAGACGCAGCTACTAAACTAAGTGTACGTTGCCTGTCTACACATTTATACAATGCATTTATGCAGCTGCCGTCTAGCCTCTTTGCCAACTTCAAATCTTTTCATTTGCACAACTGCTGTCACCGGGAGACGTTAAAGACTTTGACAGTGTAGCCCCGGTGCATCAAAACCTTGATGAAAACTCAACACTGCCTTTTTTTCTTATTTTTCTTTCTTGCAGCCGGTCACGCTGCTTTAAATCTCAGCACCTAAAACCTCGGTGTTTCTCTTTAGCCCATGTGACAACCCACAGTGTGTCTGCCAGCAGTGCAAGTGAGGCGTGAGGAAAGGGGTCGAAGGGCCTCTCCATGTAAGACGAGATGACAAGGCTCTGAATTAATTAATGTTTGTAATAAAAATAAAAACAGGGTGAAGAAAATATGTCTAATGGCAGCCGCGGGGCCTTCTGTGGTAATTAACTGGAACACAAGCATAGAATACTCTCCCTCCTCTCCATCCCACTACTCTTACTTTTCTCCCTCCGTCCACTCGATTTTCCCTTCTCTTTACTATCTACCTTGGGGTCTTCTTCTGGATGCAGAATGCAATGGGAAAAAAACAGATTGGTGTCTGCACACTGGAATTATAACTCCCACTTGAAAAGGTTGCTCATTTGGTTGCTCAACCTTGGTGGAAGGTTTAGGGTTGTCATGCTAAGTGAATTTTAGGGTTCATACGGAATGTTAATAAGATAGAAATTCAGAGTTACAGTTTTATATGTTCTCTTTACGCTGTTTCAAAGGAGCGTGCGGTCATGTCGGATCTGCAGGGGTAGCAGATTAATACCTGCAGCCTCTTTAACCATCGACGTGTCGCTAAATGCCACGGGATCGACTCCCGCTAGGTTGGCTAGCTATGAGCATGCTAATCAGCTGTAGCACATCTCTATTTTATCTATCTATAATAGTTGAAACAAAAGAGGTGAAGCAGGCACAGTTGATACATTTTGCAATTTGTGTTCTGCATCTATTGTGCATTTACTTGCTCTTTTCTGTGTAAATCCAGAATCCACGTGGTTAACAAGCACATGCAATGTATGGTGGAGTCCTTGTTTGTTGAAGAGTTTTAGCTGGTTCTCTCATGTTACATAGAAACTGGCAGAGTTGCTGGAGACCCGAGTCTCTTGTCAGACACAGGGACGTCTTCTAGCTTCGAGGTAATAACCGGGTCAATATCAATCAAAGGCACGAAGCAAATCTGGTGTCACAGAACCCGGCGTGTTTTAGCCACGGAAAAAAAAGGTAGTACAAAGTAATTGAGGTCTTTGCTAATTGCGCGTCTTCACAGAATCCTAATTACACAACCCTATTCAAAGTCGTACTTTTTCTGGTGGACAATTAGACTAATGGAGAGCATCTGAACAAGCACATCACGCAGCAAGGGAGAGTCAGGCAGTTAGCTGACCTGCTCGCTGTTGTTCCTCACACAACTGCGCGGTGTCAATACACGGAGCCCGGGGGTCGGGGGTGAGGTCACCGTCTCAGTTGACCAGAGACGCTTTAGATCAAGGCTTTGCCATCTTCCTTGAAACAAATCTTACACTGCAATGTAACTTTTATATTTGTATCAGTGTGTTTTTTTTAATTTAATCTTCTATTCGATCTATTCCGTCTTAAATGACCCTTTTCTAATGTGTTTCAATGGCAGTTTGACTTTTGTTTTCTGTAAAGTGAAATGTGCTTAAAAATAAACCAGCCCTTTCTCGCTCTTGTGTTTTTTGGGATCAGCGCCCTTCTCACTCAGCTTCATCCATTGCCAATTTCATGTCAGTGAGCTTGAACCAGTGCTGATAAATATTTAAAAACAATGGAAACTAGGAAAGGAAGGTCAGATTATTGTCTTGTGGCAGCAAAGAGCAGGATTTTATGAAGCATCTTTAGTCAGTACTTACCCTCTCGCCGGAGCGCGGCCTCTTCTTTGGCCTGCTGGGCACTGTGTCTTCTTTAGGATTGGTGTCTATGGCCCAGTACGAACCCTGCAGAGTGATAAAAAAAATATTAATAAGTCTTGTGTTTGATTGAAAATGTTCTCCACTTGTTTTGATCGATTTGTTGGTTTAGGCACATTTTCATATTAAAATAAGGAGTCAGCGGGGGACATTAACACTTCAAATAATAATACTGTGATTTTTGAGAAAATATTAATTTAATTTCTATAGATGTCACCTGTGAATTAAATACACAACAATTTTACCATAAAATTACCCATAAGGCTTCAATATTTCTAGTTAAAAGTGTTTTTTGGATCTAAATCTTTTGTTGTGGTAGGCGATGGCCGAACAATGACATTTTCCTCCTCAGCATTAATAGAACAAATATGACTCTTTAGACAAAGTGGGTACACTAATATGATAAGGGTAATAAGTAGATCAACTTCCCAAATCTTCCCACATCCGTAACTAGTAATTACCATTTTTCAAAAATATAAACTCTGCAAACATGTATTTGAACACAATGTATGGGTTTGTCTGTCCATGTAAAGAGACACAAGCATACTACCATAGCTTCATAACAAATATGAAATTAAATCTTCAAATTGCACAATTATATGAACGATCCATATGAAACCAACAAGAGTACCACGAGTTTTCACAGCAGTGAACACCAACTATCTTCTAAACCAGTCACTCAACACGCATTAACCTCTGTCCAGTGACTGAAGCCTCCATTCGCCTGCACTTGAATTCACACGTGAGGAACTAAAAAAAGGCGGCGCGATGGATGTTTAGTGGGCCTTTAGTCAGCCGAGGCCCGGCTGAGCAGCAGCAGCCCTCCGGTCGCCCCGTCCACAGACAATCCAACAGCGGAGCACAAGAACACATCCACTTGCTTCCGTAGAAGCCGACGACCTTCCCACACTTTGTTAACACTCTGCGGCGGCGAGGCGCACCAGCTCTGAGCCATTGGCTTTTATTTTTCATGTGCTGGTTGGTTCAATTATTATTCTCTGGAACACTAAGAATAAAATGAGGTTTTAGAAAACAACAGACAACGACTGATGCATAGAATGTAGGTGTACCGGGCAAAAAGCCATAACCCAACCTGCACCATGCCGAGGACAGATTGTAATTACTACTGAACTCGTATTCCTCGCCTCGTCATGGCCGTTGTAAAGAAACAAGTATAGAATTAAATGCATCTAAGAAACAAAGGAGGACGATTTTAGGACCACCTGTTTCTCCGGCATCTAAAAACTAAATTGCCTTTTTTTAGATTTAAAAAGTGTTTTTATCAGTAGCCGTGATTGCGGCACTTTGCAGGCCAAGTTAGAAAAACTTGAAAGGGTCCAGCCAGGAGCAGCGAATACTATGAATCCTTCCAATGTAATCACCGTCCATCCCACTTCCCCTCTGAATCTACCTCGCGTCCGATAAACCCGACGCGTCTGCTGTTCTCCCACCTCAGCGGCCAATCACTTTTCTCTGGATTTATTTTTCCTGCGCTGCACATTTCTTCATTCTGCACAGTGAAGGTCAGAAATATCAGTTACAGTAAGCGCAACACATTTTTGAGGGGCTCAAAGAATGAGTGGAATCTACCCTTAACGCAGTAGACTGACTGCCGGGTCAGAAACTAGACCCCAAAATGATTGGAAATGATTAAGCATCCCAACTACCATTGAGCCTGTAATGCACAATAAAAATTGCCACAAAATAGGATATTACGGTTATAGCAGTTATGGCAATTGTGCCGACTAATATTTAACACGGTAGAATTCATGGTTTGCCACAGTCTTAACCATAGTCGTATATATAAACAGACTGTGCAATTGACGACAGGCCGTGAGATTTATTGACAAAATCTCAAGATGTCCCTTTGGTAGCTGTAAAAAAGAAATTGACATCATGGGTCCTGGGTTTGAATAAGGAGCTTATTATAAAACATGCTGAAATGTAGTGGCTGTAGTAATTTTGACGGATGTACTTAACCTATGTTACATACTTATACTCACATACCACAATTTAGTTAAACTTAAACTGTCACATACAAACATTGAGTTACCTACGTTACTTAAAGTTACGTAACAAACATATTCAATCATGATCTTTTCCTGAAACTAACCAAATCAAAGTAAAT